AATTTAAGAAGCCATATGGAATGTCGTAAGTTCAATTCCTGGGTTATCCTGTACAAATTGGGCATGTGCATATGTGCTGCCCATGACCCTGGCTGGCTGGGAAAGCCTAGGGGTGGGGAATTATAGCATGAGACCTTGTTGAGGGTATTTGTCTCTGAATCTCAATAAATAAACAATGCTTTTTTAAAAAAAAAATGATGAAGCAGCTGAAGAACAGGAAGATTATGTAACTTTTAAAGTTACACAAAAGGTCAGGACCAGCAGTTAGTGTAATGGCTATGTTGCTGGACTACCACGTAGTTGACCACGGTTCAAGTCCTGGATCTGGTGGCTTAAACTCACGCCAGGCACGTGTGCATGTGTGCCCAAGATCCCGAGAGGAGAATGGAGAAGGGATTGAGGCGTGGCCATCCCCCTGGGCGGTGATTTCTCACTTTCTGTCTCTCTGTCTCTCTCTGTCTTCCTGGAGAGAGCACGCACCCTATAGCAAAAACCTCTCCAAAAAAAAAAAAGTTACACAAAAGGTAAGTGTAGGATATGGGATTCACAACTAGTCTGCTTGACACTAAAGCCTAGGCTGTTTCAATATTGCCTCATTGCCCCGCTATAGCCTCTCCTTGGCTGGGTTACACAAGTTTCCAAGCACATCTATACAATTATCATATGAAAAACATTCAAGTAGGTTAGGAACCCAAGAAAGTTCTCCATCTTTCTTCACCAAAGGTGAAGAGAAACTTTGCTAATTTTTTTTTAGAGGTTTTTGCCTTAGAGCATGTACGCTCACTAGAGAGAGAGAGAGACAGAGACAGTGAGAGGGAAAGTGAGAAATCATACCCTAGGGGGGAATGGCCATGCCGCAATCCCTTCTCCTTCATTCTCTTCCCAGGATCTTGGGCGCAAGCACACATACAAGCACAAGCCACCAGTGGGGTCAGCCTGTGGGAGTTCAACGATGTAACTGCTATACCATCTATTGGTCCTGAAGACTGTGCTATTAACACACAGGCCATACTTACCCACCTCAACTCATGATCCCTTGTGAGCTGTCTTTGACATTCCCTTCCCAGGCCAAGCCCACAAGCTGGCAGACAGGCTTGCTCTCCTGGCCACACAGGTCACCTGCCATGTGTTAGTTACAACCTGGAAGTCCTGCTCCAACTCTTCCAAGGAATCTCAGACAAGTACTTGATACCATAAGGTGGCTGAATCTCCCTTCCCAAGCCTGGAAAAAATTATTTTCTAGTTTTTGCCTCGAGTTGCCCTTTTTTTTAGTTTCTATTTTAGGGATTGAGCAAGAGCTATTGCAGAATTGCAAAAGATAGTTCCCATGGTTCCACAAGTCCAAACACTAACACTGAGACTTGAGACAGAAGCAACAGACTACTGTCAGCTCCAAGTGGAAGATGCCATTGCTCTGCCAAATCTCCAGAGATGACCTGCCCCTTGGGTGTGACAAATTTCAGTAGGTACTCATTTATATACTATGCACATTGCTAAAAATGCTATTTTTACCTTGGAATTTTTTACATATCAAAAAAGAAAGTTATATATTAACTGGCGATTCTCCCAGTACATCTCTGTTTATCCCAAAGGAAGTGACGAAAATTTGCTGACAGCTTTAAAAATTATCAGGGAATTATCAGAATATCCCAAGTTTAATAATTAACAAAGTTTAAAAACCAGAGTTGAAATCAGAGACTTATAAAACATTGTGTTGGTCACCTACTAATTCTGAAGTTCTTTTCTTTTTTCAAAATGTACTTCTTTTTTTAATTGACATGAAAAATTGTATGTATTTACCGTGTTCAACAAGACATTTTGAAGTATACTCACATTGTGGAACGGTTAAGTCTAGCTAATTAACAAATACACTATCTCGCATATTTATCTTTTTTGTGATGATGACCTTTAACATCGACTCTCTTAGCATTTTTCCAGAATGCAATATATCGTCATTAACTACAGCCACCATGTTGTACAATAGATGTCTCTATTGTATACACTCTTTTGGCCATTTCATCTACTTCAGTGGCTTCAACTAAAATTTCTCTGCCATATATATCTGTAGCCCCAATTTCTTTTTTCTTTTTTTTTTTTGAGAGGTTTTCGCTACTATAGGGCGCGTGCGCTTGCCAGACAGAGAGAGACATAGAGACATAGAGATAGAAAGCGAAAAATCACCCCCCAGGGGGAATGGTCATGCCGCAATCGCTTCTCCTCCATTCTCCTCTCGGGATCCTGGGCACGCATGCACACGCGCCTGGCATGAGTTTTAAGCCACCGGGTCCGGGACACGAACCACAGTCAACTACGTGGGAGTCCAGCAACATAGCCATTACGCTAACTGCTGGTTCCCAGTAGCCCCAATTTCTAACTGCTAGATTTCTTTCCCTGGGTGTCTCCCCGGCACCTCCAACTCTAGATAGCATATCTTTTCCCACAACCTCTCCTTCCTCGTTCCCTTCTCTCCTTTTGCCAACACCATCCCTATATTCTGAATCATTTGACTGAGTCCAATGAAAATGAAAAATCATCAGCGCTGTTTGCTAAGTGTAGAAGGAACTAAATCGTTTGGGTATGACATATAAGCCCCCACACACACAATTTATCCCAGATGACCTTTCTAGCTTTGTCTCTTACCAGACCCCCCCCCACCAACTCTCTACACTGAAGTTCTTAAGGTTTCCTAAACATGTTACCATATTTTGTTCATATATTTGTGATTTTACACAAGTTCTTTAACTTAAAACGTTTTCTTCATCTAATCTACTCATGAATTCATATTCAGCCTTTAAAACTTAGCTCAAATGTCACCTCCTCTGTAAAATCTTCCCAGATTTTCTCAGACCTTCCCTAGAACTTTTTACATGTGCTACTAAAGGCCATTAGTATTATCTATCATAGGTCATTAGTATTAATTTTTCATGACTGTCTCCCACACTGACTGGTGAGGACTCCAGGGGCAATAATTCATCTGGCACTCTCTTTGAGACAGGATGTGGACAGGAAGCAAATGTGCATTGAACGAATGACAAATTAATCAATGAATGGACACCTCATGTGGCACACGCCATGTTCTACCTTGTCTTTGTGTGGATATCTCATCTCCCTTCTTGGATAGACAACTCTTTAGGCCAACAACAGGATCCATTTTTTAATCCCCTACCACAAATTCCCCAGATGCCTATTGTTTGAATAAAGAAGTAAAACTCATGGGAGGCCTTGAGCCCCATTTCAGACTCTGCAACCTATTTCACACACAGTTTCACTAGCCCTTTGCAAGGGTCCTGTATTCCAGCTATGGTTAACTGGTGTTCTCCCATGTAGTAGATATAGCAATGGAGTAAGCCTAGGCTTTGGAACCTTGCTTTCTTGGTTCTTACCACAATGTCTATGCCAGTTAATGTCTTTGAGAAAAGGCAGATCTACTTAGTATTCCTATGTTTTGAGTGGAGTTTGGGGTCAAATGGAGAAGTTCACCCCTCCTTGGAAAAACAACTAAACCCTTATTTTCCTCCCTCCTAAATGAGTCTAACATGAATAATTTGAGTGAGCTTGAAAATCTGGAGTATAAATCAGAAAGGGCAAAATAATGGGAGGAGGGATAGAAGAATCTGAATGCATTAGGCAAACTTGGGGAAAGAAAAGGACTGTGAGGACTTGAAATTGGAACTAAGATGGGATACTGTACAAGGCAGAATCAAGAAATACTTTAGGAATATTTTCTAAATCACCTAGGTAGTTAAGTTTTAAGTTCTCTAGAAGAGAAAATGCCAAAGAGAGAGAGAGAGAAAAGCAGAATCTGTACAGCCTTGGCTGTCCTCAGCATGCTGTGCTTATGCATCTAGACCCATGCAGCACTAGCACTGGGCCTAGCGTGGAGAAGCTTGGGAGAGCCTGCTAGACAGCTGCCAAGGAGGGTTGGGGTGGAGGCAGCAGCACCAGTGCAGGGCCATGGCATCTTGGCTTCCTCTCTGAACACTGGAGTCACAGCACCTCTGCCCTGGCTCCCTCACAGGGGCCAAGACTGACTCTTGCTCCAGAAGGCCGCTTGAGATCTGGTTAGGGCAAACCTTAGATAGCAGATCCATGGGTCTGGAGGTGCCTTAATTACTGCTAGAGAAGTAGGAGGCAATAGAAGTCGAGCCCAGGGGCCCCAGGGTTCTGTTAACCAAGCTGTCCTGAGAGTGAATATTTTTATTTCCAAAGACCCCACCTCATGTGATCTGTCTGAACCTTCTCAGAGGGTGAGTGCCCCCACTGATCCCATCCCTCTCTCTGGCTTCTGTTTTTCTGGAACCCAGCTGTGCACACAGTCTGCTGTGCCTGAAGGGTGAGTCTCTCTCTCTCTCTCTCTCCTTCCCATTCTTGCCAAATATGGACTGGGCCAAAGAGTCAAATTGCAGTTAGGCCACCCTGCACTTGGGTTGGGGGTTGGCGGTTGGGTGGGTATGGGAGGAGGGATAGGACCAGAAGTGGAATTTGCCAAGAAGGCCCTGCAGCCTCAAATAGACCTAGACAGAACCACAGAGACTTGGGGAAGTCTGGAAGATTATTGGCAATCCATAGGCCAGGGTCCAACCCCTTCCTTCTGTTCAAGGTCGGTTTCCCGCGGATAACTATGTGGTGGAGCATGCCCAGGTCAAAGTTAGAGCAAATAACTGACCTTTGCACCACCCCCTCATGGTTCGCTTGGGGATGTGGGGGTGGGAATTCCAGCAATCGCAAGCCTAGCAGTCTCCCCGCTAGAGAAGTTAGGAGTCTGACCCCAGACCTTCAACAGGCTTCCAGCCCCAGGCTTCTGCCCAGGGACACACCAAATATTTCCCCGGGGAAGAGTTCGGTGCGCGACTCTCGGGACCTGCTAGATTCCCGCCAGAGCACGGAGAGCCTGAGGGCTCCCGGGTCAGCTCCCGCCCCAAGGTCGCCCGCGCGCCAACCCCAAGCGGCCACCTGTCCGAGCGCACGAGGAGGAAGGAGGGCGCGCAGTTGCCACTGACCTGAGATGCCGCCCCCCACCACGACCACGTCGTATTTGTTGCTCATTGTGCTCGCGCCGTTCCGGGCCGCCCCGGTGCCCCCTGCTCTGGTCTCTGGGCTTCGGTCCCTGCCCGCCCGCTGCGCGCTGTAGCTCCGCCGCCCAGGCCTGGGGAGGGCTGGCTCCAGCGCGCAGAGGTCACCTCAGGCCTCAAAGAATCCTTCCTTGGCCTTTTGTATGGTATTTGTCCATCAGCCTTCCTAGTGCGTGCTGGTGCTTGAGGGCTAGGAGGGCGCCCCACTTAACTCCTCAGTGTGGAACGAGTGATTGCACATTAATTGAACGCTGTCCAGGAACCAGGTGTCCTGCTAAAGGCTTTATACACGACTCCTATTCCACCTGACCACAACCCATTTTACGGATGAGAAAAGTGAGACATAGTGAAAAAAGAAAAAGAAAAAGAAAAGGCCAGGCAGTTTCCGAGATTCTATTTTTTATTTTTAAGAATTAGTTTTATTACTCTTCTGCTAAATTGCTTTTGTAATATGAGAATGTATCCGTACAAACTAATAAAATGTACACTATATAAAAGGAAAAAAAGAAGAATTATTTTTATTTAAATTTATTTATTTAAATTTTGATCAGAGAGGGACAGAGCGAGAGAGAGAAAGGGAAAGTGAGAAAGCAAGCCACCAGGCCCAGGACTCGAAAGGTTGTCAGCTATGTGGGAGTCAAGTGCCCAGAACCACCATGCCACCTGCTGGCCCCACAAGATCTAATTTTATCATAACGCCATACAGCAGTGTCATTTCTTGGCATATACTCGGGTGGGAGTTCTAGCCCACTTCACCCTCCTTCCAAACACTGACTTCTTTCTCCATTTCCCCTGTGTAATTAGCTCAGGACTAGGCTTCTACCCAGTATGGCAAAAAACAGCACCTAAAGATTTCCCTGCTTTGCCAGTGATCAAAACAGCCACCTGCACATTGAGTAACCAGGTATGTCCATGGTGCAAACTGTTGAGGTTGGAAATGGCACCCTGGTGGCAGCAGGGGAGAGGTCTTGGATGAGCAAGGTATGATTCAGAGAATCCCCCTCCCCACACCATCACCATCATCCCAAGTAGCAAGCCAAGTTATTTATGTGATCCTGGGATGTGGGTCTAGGGATCCTGGCTTTACCAAACATAGGAGAGATTTAACTAGTTTATAAGTGCTTAAGCTTAGGTTGTTCCAGGTAAAACAGAGAGGTATACAAGGGATCTTCATGGAAAAGGTATATTATTTTTAAAACTATATATGGATTTCAATTTTTTGCATCAAAATAAGTCTGTACTTCAATCCTGTTTTTTCACATTTTGAAGTCCCTTGCGTCTGAAAAACTAGAAGTAGGAAGACGCATCATAGGGAGACTTTTCAAAATATAATGGGTCCAGTTCTTCTGTTCATGTTGAGGGGTGGGGAGGGGTGGTTGCTGGCCTGGGTGAGGCTGGCTCTGGGTCTGGTAAATTGAAGAGAACCTGAAACAAACCTCTACCTCATCCTGTCCCTGTATCTACCTGTTACAAAGGTATCCAGAATTTCTGCTGTCCTCAGACTAGAAGAGGGTTTGCACACTTTTTTTTAAGAATTATTTATTTTATTTTATTTGTTTATTATTATTCTTCCATTTGATCAGAGAGAGAGAGAGAGAGGAATAAAGCAAGCCACCAGGTCCAGGACTTGAACCGTGGTCTACCATGTGGAAGTCCAGCACCTAAACCACCATGTCATCTGCCAGCCCTCTTCTATAACTGAGAAATCATTGGTGACAGGAAAAGTCTGGGCCTGGCTCTGAAACTTCCATCTCTCATGTTTTGGTACAAAACAGTCACATGCTGGGTCTGGGCCTGAGCCCTGAGCCTGGAGCCCTAGCTGTGTCCCCACTGCAGAGAGTGAAGCTGCCTCACTCTGCAGACAGCCTGTGCTGACCTCCTCCTTGCCATACCTGGTCCAACTCTGTCTACAGGGACCTGAAACTGCAGTTTTTTTTTGGTCCATCTTTCCCCTCACCTAGTCTGCAAATGAATCATGAGTCAGGTGGGGTAGGATTAATGGAGACGCTCCTTGTGAGATTTGCTTGGGAATCTCTCTTTTTCTCAAAGCTCACCTATTTATTCCATGAAAGAGAGATAGAGACAGAGAGACAGAGAGATACAGCACTGTAGACAGTGTCTTGGTGCCACAATCCACCACAGCCTCATCCAGCTTGGATCATGGGCATGTGCATGCAGAGCACACTTAGGAAGGTCTCCTGCAGTGAACCCAGACCTTTCTATGTAGGTCAGCCTCACAGAGCATCACATTTTACTGCTGCATCACCATCTGGCCTCTGCTTTGGATCTTTTTTTGGTTCCAGCAGTGCAAAATCATCCAGGGGCCTGGGCATCTAAGACTGAGTCCGAGGCAGACCGACTATCCTCTCTCTCTGTTCAACTGGCAATAGGGCCAGAAGGCACCGTTCCATGGTGTCTGGAGAAAACTCACCAGCAAATAGTATTTTCCCTAAGCAAAGATAATCAGTTACCTTCTGCTGTATGAGGTAAAAATTGGGTTAAAATACAACTCAGGTCTTGACAGTAGGGATAACAAGAGCTCTGAGAGCGGTCTCTGTGACCACCCCTTGTCCCCACATACAAGTAGTCATCCAGACCTCTTCAGGGTCCTCAGTCTCCTCAATAAGATAGCACCATAGGTCTGTCCTCTCCTTCTGTACTGTGTGACAAGATAAAAAGCAGTGCTTTTCAAACTTGAAAGTGCATCCTGATCATTCAGATCTGGGATGGGGTCTGAGAAGGCACATTTCTAACAAGCTCCAGGTGGTGCCAGTGCTGTTGTTCTGTGAACCACACACATTCTCCTCCGCTCCAGGCTTCCACCTTCCCATCAGTTCCAGAAGCAGTTGTGCATTCTAGAGCCCCTTACTTAACTCAAAGTGTTCTCATTGAGGTGTCTATTCATCGTACCAGCATTTATTGGATACCTGCTATCCTGAGCTCCAAGGAAAAGATGAATGAGGTAGAGGCTGCCCCTGCCCTCATGGGCCTCATGCTCCATCAGGAAAGATATTCATGAAGAATTTTCATAAACATAATTCATTGTTTTCTCTTTTCTTTCTTTTTTTCAAGACAGAGTCTCACTTTGTTACCCACACTAGCCTTGAACTTGAAGTTTTCCCTCAGCCTCCAAGCAGCTGGAATTGCAGGCATATACCACCATGCCTGGTACAAACATAATTCTGGAACATAGAGCAAGAGTGCCGGATAAACTAGCTCAGGCAATCACGGGGGTCCTCCAGGAGGAAATAACATTTCTACTGGGACTTGAAGGACAAACAGAGGTTAATCAACTATTAAGGAAGATGAGCACTCCAGGCAGAGTGGATAGAGTAGACTAATTTAGGAGGCAAGGCTGAGGCTTAGTATTGGAAGTATAGAAAGAGTATCTTGGACCATCTTTAGGGCTTACCAGAAACATTATAAAATTAATAGTGAATAATAATATGTTAATGGTGAAGTATTAACAATGTATAAAATGATAGGAAGCATAATTTATTTTTTACTGCTGCATCACCATCTGGCCTCTGCTTTGGATCTTTTTTTGGTTCCAGCAGTGCAAAATCATCCAGGGGCCTGGGCATCTAAGACTGAGTCCGAGGCAGACCGACTATCCTCTCTCTCTGTTCAACTGGCAATAGGGCCAGAAGGCACCGTTCCATGGTGTCTGGAGAAAACTCACCAGCAAATAGTATTTTCCCTAAGCAAAGATAATCAGTTACCTTCTGCTGTATGAGGTAAAAATTGGGTTAAAATACAACTCAGGTCTTGACAGTAGGGATAACAAGAGCTCTGAGAGCGGTCTCTGTGACCACCCCTTGTCCCCACATACAAGTAGTCATCCAGACCTCTTCAGGGTCCTCAGTCTCCTCAATAAGATAGCACCATAGGTCTGTCCTCTCCTTCTGTACTGTGTGACAAGATAAAAAGCAGTGCTTTTCAAACTTGAAAGTGCATCCTGATCATTCAGATCTGGGATGGGGTCTGAGAAGGCACATTTCTAACAAGCTCCAGGTGGTGCCAGTGCTGTTGTTCTGTGAACCACACACATTCTCCTCCGCTCCAGGCTTCCACCTTCCCATCAGTTCCAGAAGCAGTTGTGCATTCTAGAGCCCCTTACTTAACTCAAAGTGTTCTCATTGAGGTGTCTATTCATCGTACCAGCATTTATTGGATACCTGCTATCCTGAGCTCCAAGGAAAAGATGAATGAGGTAGAGGCTGCCCCTGCCCTCATGGGCCTCATGCTCCATCAGGAAAGATATTCATGAAGAATTTTCATAAACATAATTCATTGTTTTCTCTTTTCTTTCTTTTTTTCAAGACAGAGTCTCACTTTGTTACCCACACTAGCCTTGAACTTGAAGTTTTCCCTCAGCCTCCAAGCAGCTGGAATTGCAGGCATATACCACCATGCCTGGTACAAACATAATTCTGGAACATAGAGCAAGAGTGCCGGATAAACTAGCTCAGGCAATCACGGGGGTCCTCCAGGAGGAAATAACATTTCTACTGGGACTTGAAGGACAAACAGAGGTTAATCAACTATTAAGGAAGATGAGCACTCCAGGCAGAGTGGATAGAGTAGACTAATTTAGGAGGCAAGGCTGAGGCTTAGTATTGGAAGTATAGAAAGAGTATCTTGGACCATCTTTAGGGCTTACCAGAAACATTATAAAATTAATAGTGAATAATAATATGTTAATGGTGAAGTATTAACAATGTATAAAATGATAGGAAGCATAATTTATTTTTGTACGTGTTTGTGTCTTCTCTTTCCAACTAGACAATAAATTCCTGTAGGAAAGGATAATTCCATATCTTTTATTTATCCATTCAAGAATAATTCATTGGACACCAATTCTGTCAGACTTTGTGCTCACCATTAGAAATATGCTATTATAAATGAGAAATGACGCTAATTCTAAGAAAACTAAATATGAAAACAGACAATTACAAGAAGTCTAATAATCATGTTCCAGTGGAGTGATGCTTTACACCTCTAACCAAGAAGTATAGAGGAAGTCTATTTGCCCCTAACAGTGTTTATTT